TGTTTTCAGAACTTTTGTTAATATGTTAGTTTCCATTTCCCTCTATACAAATAAAAAAGAAATTTATTCAAAGATTACTTTGTATTAATCGAGTTGCGTTTGCATATCTCGAACTAATTAAATTTCAACTCGATATTAATCCGAGTTATCAGATTCATAATAACAACACTGACAATTCTATTCTACGTTTAACGTCATGAATTGACGTTTAGATCCAACAATTTGTGTTGCCATCTAGTGAGATATTTTTTTGTAATTTCTTTATTTTTTTTTAAATACTTCTTCATTAAAAAGGAATTGTTTATTTATTTTAAATGCGGATTATCAAACAAGCTTTGAGTCATTTACAAATAACAAAAAATTGTTAGCATGTGCTAAAAATACACAAACATACATTTTTAAGCAAATAAAAACATACAATTCGAAAAAAACTTTTTTCTTCAAAATACTTAATTTTTTCCCTATTAAAATAATCTTATACGTTATTTTTGACATAAAAGTTGGCAGCCCTACGTCTACATGCCCTCTCTGACCGGTGTCTGCAGCAAAAGCAAAGAGTAAAAGTATATATTAATAAAAATGAGCAAGTGTGAGTGCTTGCTTTACTTTACTTGCCGTAATTTAAATACGCGTGGCAGGTGCTGCTACCACCATTCCCTATTTTTATGCTAAGAAATATATAATTTTAAAAATCTGTTATTTTTCATAAAATACCTTTATAATAATTTCTTTTGTAATACGATTTCGTATAACGTGTGACATGTGTATTTACATAAAGGCATGGAATGAGGAGGTACCTATTTAAAGATAAAAAGAAAGCACAAAAAAACACCTTACTAGATGGCGACTCTACCAAAAGTTGACTTTTGCAGGAAACGAATGGGCGAAAAATAACCATTTCCGTTCCTTTTAACCGACATATTAAAAATTGAAATTTGGAAAATTCAAAACTTAGATATCAATACAAATTCGAAAAAGTACAAATAGAATATAAGTCGTTTATCGAGTTTTGAAAATTAATTTAATTTTATATGTAAAAATAAACCAGATGAGTTGTCATGGAGAAATCAAGAAAGTACCTACCGTTGCGACATCTAGTTTGATTTCTGGAACTAATGTTATTTTTTTAACTTCCTCATTACATACCATGAGGCTTAGCTAGTGTGGTATGGCAACATTGGTATTTTGAATAGTGTTACCAGACTGAGCATCTTGCCGTGTCTTCAAGGAAAAATATTGCACTTGGGGTTAACATCCATTAGATTTTCCCTTTTGTTGTAACTAACTTGAAGTGTTGTCGACTATAAGTATTATGATATATTATCAAATATTTTAGTTACTTAAGCTAAATTACCTGACTTACTATTTTTTAAATCATATATTAAATAACTTTTCCGAACGGTAAATGTATAAAGAATACCTCGCTGCCAAGTATTACAATGTTATGTATATTAAGACCTTCGTTAACCTATTGCGCAAATAATTTCACCATATGTTTTCTAAAAGGCTCACCCACTATAAAAATTGAAATTTAATTTATATGAGTTACTTTTTATTGAGGAGCTCAATAGTATTAAGTAGTTAACGCATTCAGTTTCATCAAGCAGTGGCGACATCAATAAGTTTTGCTTAGACACGTTAGGGGCCTTTGTAGCCCAGAGGCTTCATATCATTGATACCACGATATCTACGCCCTGTCATCAAGGTCGGTCATATAGGACAGGTGATCAATAACTAATTATTTCGACCTTCGATAGACACATTATGCATTTGGTTCCAGCAGAATCTGCAGTCGGTAGCATTCATTTATCCACGCTTTAAGTGAATTAATTAATATATTTATTTTAAATAAGACATACTTTGGGGAAAATATATTTATGTAACTAGGGAAATTCAAATTACACTATTGGTAGCTCTGATTTTGACACATCACGACCGACTCTCTGTTGTCGGTTTCTTTCTATTAACAAAATTGGGGGATTTCATATGATTTCCTGTGGAAACTAGGTCGCCCAGTGATATTAACGTATATTAATTATTAACAAAATCATTTATATTGTTGTTGTCTCTTTAATGAGACATTGGCGACAAAATCATTGTTTGTTAGAGCTGTTTAAAAATCGCACTTCGATACTGATTATTTGCTGTACATAGATAGGTATTATCCATCTTCGAAAATGACTGAAACTTCACCAGAAGAACCCAGTTCCAAACGTAAGGATTTTATCTGTGGTGTCGTTGAAGGTAAATATATCGTTTTAATATTATCTGTTATGGTACATACCCTATATTGATGTTCTAAGTATGTATGAAATAGATTGGGTTGGAGTGAATGACCTAAGTTTTACTATTGCAGGCTTCTACGGTCGCCCATGGACAACGGAACAAAGGAAAGACTTATTTCAAAAGCAAGTATTACCTAAAATTGAAATCTTATTTGTATTCTTATCTGAATTTGTTTGATAACATCTAAATAGTATCAAGCTGTAAATTATTCAAATGGTATATAAGCCATATTTTTGACATACATAGCTCTTGATTCTATATCATTTCAATTCATAAACCAATTAACTTATTAGAAACATAAATTATTAAACATTTTTACTTACTACTAACAATATATAATCTATTTTGACTATCAATATGTACTTAATTGTGAAAGTAGATGATAAAAATTATACTGAATAAATTTGAAATTCAGCCTGAGACTTCAAGACAATAAATAATGTGTATCAGGTGTACTTACACAAAGATTGACTGTTATTTAAATAATTAGTGATTCAGAATAAAAGAGGTACTAAATTTCCTTTAATAAAAGACCGAAACAATTTCATGATAGCATCTAAGTTTACTAGTACATTAAACCTGTAAAGGATCAGAAACACCTGAAAAATACAAGATAAAATAAAAAACACATGCAATAAAACTGTTCCAGTTGTCTTATTGAAATGAAATGAAATGAAAATATCTTTATTCAAGTAAGCTTGTTACAAGCACTTTCGAATCGTCCAAAACATTTTTTTCCCCCTACCCCTTGTTCAGGACGTCTTTTAGCTGACAAGAAGAACAAGCGAAAGAAACTTACCAGTTCTTTATCATTAGTAATGACATTTACAAAATCATGTCATTACCAAAATAATATGTATTATCACAATAATAAACACAACTTTCAAAGTCTGTAGGTCATAGTTTGTACATATAATTAGTCGTTATAGAACAAAGCGAAGGCTATTAATTCCATGCATTAAGGTCCTTAAAATAATCATCAACTTTATAATTTAAACTTATTTATGGGTAGGCCAATTACATTTTGTGGAACTTTATTGAAAATAGCAATACATTTACCCAGAAATGACCCTCTGGTTTTTATTTCTTGTAATAAGATTATGAACACATACTTTTTATTGTGAAGGAATCATAATGTTCTCTTGCATACATAATATTTTCATAGATGTCTCAATACATCTGCAACAGTCAAAATATTTATTTCTTTAAATATTTCTCTAAAAGATTCTCTAGACCGTAAACTATATATAGCGTGGAAGGCTCTCTTTTGTAGAATAAAAATATCTTGAATACTAGCCAGAGAACCCCACAACAATAAACCATAAGTCATTAAACAATGAAAATAACTAAAATATACCAATCTTACCGTTTCAACATTTGTCAAGAGTCTAATTTTCTTAACAGCAAATGCTGCAGAATTCAGTCTACTTGACAAGTTATCAATATGAGGATCCCATTGAGGTCGGGAATCTAGTGTAATACCAAGGAACTCTGTTTGAATCCACCATCTCAACTTTTCCACTATTTACATTTATAAGTGTATTAACATGCCTCACATTAGGTAATGCAAACTTTATGCATTTTGTTTTATTTGAATTAAGCTTTAAATTATTACTATCAAACATCATTTACATCGTCAAAACAATAATTACCCCTCTTAACTTTAAACACTAAAGAGGTGTCATCAGCAAATAATACTATCTCACACAAATTCTTTGTAAAGTGAGGAAGATCATTAATGTAAATTAGAAAAGGCAATGGTCCTAATACCTATCCCTGAGGTACGCCCATAGTAATGGGTGAACCTGCTGATTAAATGAGCAGTGTGCATGAAAATATAGGTTAATATGCAGTGAATCATGTATGAGTATGCAAAATTGAATATTTTATTTTTGTTATATTGTAATTTGCAATCAGTTGCAAGACATTAAGCTAATTATTTGACAGAGATCATTGGTTTAGTGAAGCGGTCATCACTGCTTCTTCTAATTAAGCATGTGGTCTCTTCAACTTCTTCATCATGTTGGATGGGTCCAACAACTTGGCTATAAGAGGGTTCCTTTAGATGTGATGTGATTCTTTAGACAATCCTTGTATCTTTTTCGATATGATTCGATTTCAGCGGCCACTGTTGGCATGTTCAGATATGCATGGATTTCATTGTTCTTTGTGCGGTGTGCATCCCTCAGTATGCGGTTTTGTACTTGTTAGAGACATAGTATATTATTGGAGACACACTCTATATTTGGATCCCATGTCCGGATTGGTTTTAAAACTGAATTAAATATCAGTAGTTTGTTGTAGACGGACAGTACCGAGTTCCTCCTTGTTATGTATGAATGTCAAATATATTTTATTAAAATATCTACAGGTTATCATGTTGAAGAATAACATTAATACATGTAGGTAGTTAGTTTACTTGGCACTTTTTTTGTCTTGTCATTGTACAGGCTTCATAGCTTAATAAATGGAATTTTAATGGACATAATACTTCCCATCAGCCAGTATAAGCTTCGAAACTTTGTGTTGATTTCGTTCCTTTTAATCTTTATGTGATTATTCCAGGTCAAACATTAGTCAAGGTGGAATCAAAAAACAGCAATTCTAACTGTACTGTAACTTTATGTCTGATGTATTCATTAACATTATAACTGATTCAATTTCATTATATTAAACACTTTCTCTAAACATGTTACAGGTTAAAGAAATGGAATATGGATATGTATGTCTATGCTCCGAAAGATGATTACAAACATAGGGCTTACTGGAGAGAGTTGTACACTGTAGAGGAGGCTGAGCATCTGACATCTCTCATAACAGCTGCAAAGTCACAAGGCATAATTTTTTGTTATGCTCTGTCGCCTGGTCTTGATATTACTTACAGTAGTCAAAAGGAAATTACCACCTTGAAGAGAAAATTGGAGCAGGTTTGTTAGATTCTATTAATTTATTCAATAAGAAAGTTTAATTTTGTAACTGAATATATATTGTGATATGTCTCACCAAACAATAATCTAAATAACAATATTATATTTATATATATGATGCTGTAGATTTTCCTAATTTTCAGATCTTCAGATTTTAATGATTTTGCGTTTTATTGATTCACTTTATATCCAATTGAACATTCATGATGATGATATATCTTTGTGTTTCAAAATATGAGAAAATTTTATATGAAATTATAAATAATGACTTTATTAAACTTGACTCTCTTTTAAGGTTTCTCAGTTTGGCTGTACATGCTTTGCATTGCTTTTTGATGACATAGAGCCTGAAATGAGTGAGGCAGACAAGCAGATATTTCAGAGTTTTGCTCATGCTCAAGTAAGTTTTATAATAGACTTTTATATTGTTATAGCTTTTTCACTTCAACTGTATTCACATGTTATTATTATCTCTTAGTAAATGATGAACTTCCATATAAACTTTCAACCCAACCTTTTTTTGGCGATAAAAAGTAATCTATATCCTTTCTGAAGGTCAACATACAATTAAATTTTATAATGAGTCTTGTTTCAATAAGCATAAAGTGTAAAATACGACGGATTAGGTGTCGGTCTCACTCACACCCCACACAGTCAGGCGCGTGGATATTGGTGGATCGCCTGATAGCGTGATACTTGAGTTAGTCAGATTGGTGGACATTTGCTGTGCTTTGATCTTTAACAGATTAAAATCGATTTGATAGTTTTAGCTGAAAGCGTAAGAGACAGATAATATGAATAGAAATTATAAATATCAGTTCTATATAAATGATACTATTAATGGTGAAATTTGTAACAATTGTTGAAATCAAATAATTGAGTTACTGTTAATTTGTATCCACATAGTTTCCAGTTGCCATTTAATGACTTCCTGTCTTATTCATCCACTTCAAGTTTCATATTCGACATAAGACGTAGCCAGGCCCGTCTTTACTCATGGTGTAGGGGGTGCAATGGAACCGGGCGCCGCGCGTTGGGGTGCGCCGCGCCGATGATGATCTAAATTTTATTTCAAAAATTTTTATATTTTTCATCCGCGGAACGCTGAAAAACGAGTCTTTTGAAACAGCCGCCGCCGTCGCACCACCAAAATTTTGTTTTTTTTTTTAATATGTGTAAAAAAAATTCTAAAACTTTTCCCTGTGATTAGTGGGGGGAGGGGCAAAGCATTCCTAGCACCCGGGCGCCTGTTGTGCTTAAGACGGGCTTGGACGTATCATATGTACTTTTTCATCAACTAATCTCTAGATATTACTAAAATTCATCAAGACGACGGGGGCAGAAAACAAAACCACTATTCTATTTACAAATTAATATGGATACATATGTTTTAGGTATCCGTAACAAATGAGATTCATCAGCACTTGGGTTGTCCTCGTTTCCTGTTATGCCCAACACAGTACTGCTCCACTAGGGCTGTGCCAACTGTCAACAGCTCGGAATATCTCAACACTCTGGGCACTAAACTATCACAGCAGATTGACATCATGTGGACAGGTATAGTGTGCTGATCTGTTGTATTTGTGTGTCTGTAGCAACAAATAGAAAGGTACTGAAGAAGATATATAGCAACAATATACATACATAAATATATCAGACTATGCATAATGTATAATCTGCAATTGACTGTTCACCAAGCATTAAATATTTTGAGAGTATTGTTAGGTTTAATTTAAAAAAATACTCCTGCAATCTATATGGAATTTTAGTCTAATGTCATATAAGTTTAAAATTATTTGTGGGTATTTTACATTTTGTGGTAACTTGGTGAAATAGTACTAAAATGTTATATTTTCAACTAAGTTCAATAAATACTTAGTGCCATACACATACATAACTAATTTACTATTATTTTGAAGCACATAAAGTATTTGATGTATAATAAAAAAATTGTCCACAAAGCCATGCAATTATACATTTGCTATTAAATTTTAATTTGCTTTCCAGGTCCCAAGGTGATATCAAAGACATTGACTTCAGAGTGCATAGAAGAAATCACTCAAGTTCTTCGCCGCCCACCGGTCATATGGGATAATTTACATGCTAATGATTATGATCAAAAAAGAATATTTTTAGGTTATTATTTACTCAAATTCATACTCTTTTTTTAAACATTCATTATTGCAGTCATGCATTAGCATAATAACCTTGTGTATCTCGTATTTTATGAATCAGTATTAGATCTTCTTATAAATCAAATCTGATAAACAGTATTCAAGATTACAGATCAAAGGTCATAAAATAAGTAGTTTAATACATTTTGTATAAGTTTATTGTTGATTGAAGATTATGTGCCCTTTCATTTCGTTAATTCTTTATCCCAGGTCCGTATTGTGGCAGATCACCGGAATTGATCCCTTTGTTGCGAGGCGTATTGACGAATCCCAACTGCGAGTATAACGCTAACATGATAGCGATACGGACTCTGGCCCACTGGGCTAGTTGCAGTTTGGACGCACCCGCACACAGTGAGTCGTTTACTGACATATGTCCCTGAAAACAGTGTCTCTACATCCTAGAATTTAAAGTAAAAGAAAAAAATTCTTTAATCCGGCTACTTGGTTGTGTTGGGAAAAGTATTTTAAAGCTTTCATATGATTATATTAAACCACTATCTGACAAACGGGACTCGATCCCATGACCTTATGCAATCCGGGCGACGTTTTGTGTATCTTTAAGTATTTTTCATTATAGCATTTTGAATGCAAAATTGATAAAATATAATAATATTTTATTCATTAATATAAGTTGTGCCCCAAAAACAATCAGTTACGAGACATTTTGAGTTAGGCATGTGACATACATTACAATTAACATGACCTTATAGATGCGATCGCAACTAATACGTAGACATTTAGTTTATTGAAATGTGACGTCATAAGATGCTCCGTCAGACCGCCCGCGTTTCGGTTCTTGTAATCCACAGATTATAAAAAAAAGTTAGTTTTGCAGAAATAAAATATATTTTCAATTTCTTTCAAAAGAAAAAATACTTCATAGTTATTGTTATACCATTTTGTTAAATTTCGAACATCCTATTAATATTATAAAGGCGAAAGTTTGTAAGTATGGATGTATGGATGTTTGTTACTCTTTCACGAAAAAACTACTGGACGGATTTGGATAAAACTTTACAGCAATATAGGTTATACATCAGAATAACACATAGGGTACTTTTTACTGGGAAAACTTCTCACTCCCACGGGATACCGACTTCCACGCGGACGAAGTCGCGGGCGTCCACTAGTATTACATAATTTCTTGTTCATCATTGGAAGCATGAATTGTTTGTCATTTGTGTGACCAATGTGTTTCTTTTGTCAGTGGAAGCAGTATCGTGGGATATCAAGCTAGAACGAGAGAGTGACCAAGGTGTTTGTGAAGATGAAGCCCCTGTTCCACTTGGCAAGCATGTGTATCATCATAGACAAGCCCTTAGGTGAGATGCGAAGCCTTACTGAAATAAGTTATTGTAAAGCACAACCATAAAGGATTAAATAAATTGCAATAAGAATTATAACTACTGTACATGTCTTAAGAAAAACTATTCAAATATATAACATTATCATGTTCTGAAATGGCTATAAAAAGCAATAAAATATATTTTAGAATAAGATTTTCAAAATGTTATAAAATTGTCTTTCACAGACAAGCTATCACTGAATGGTTACCAGAATTCTCAATACCTAAAACTGCACAGGGCCCTGTCATCAAGCCACAACCTGCTATAACTGGTAAGAAATGTAATCCTAATAGATTCATTGATATTTAAACTTCATAATTCAGATTATTTTGTTGTTTAGAGTTATATTTTTGATTGGTCATACTGTGTAATAAGTCAATACATAGTTAAAGCAAAATCAATTTAATTAAGTATCTTGATTGTCTAACTATATTTGCTCAGTGACAGCTGTGTGAAGTTTAATTAAAGTTAATCTGGCGCTGGTTACTTGATTTGTAATTGTATGCGTCTGTCCTAAGTTGTTGATTAATTTTGGTCTTTTGAGTTGTTTTTTCATTTCATTGGGTCATCTTCATGTCATAATATTTTTTATAATAACTCCCTAGTTTTGTATATTTTCCATTTTCTGAAATTAATATTTAATTTTTAAATCAAAATTCAAACTGTGAATAATAATAATATATTTTCATGGATATTGACGATGATTAATTTTTTATCAAGTGCCACCGGTACCTATCATACCTATACTGCCTTCGGTGAACACCTGCATGTCCCTGGTGACCGCTACCAGTAATACTTCCACAACGAGCACTGCTGACATCTCCTCTGCCATACCAACTGTCAACACTAGTCAACTGCAGGCATTGGCCGACGTCTGTTCGTCTACAGACCGACCGATACTAGCCACTGGGGTAAGACAAGCGATGAAATTAGCTTCAACCTGTCATAAATGTTTGCCACTTACATTGAATTATCTAAAAATCATTGTATTTCAGGTGTCATCCATAGAAACGTTTAATCCTGTGTCAAACCCTGTAATGAATTCTTTGGTGTCACCCACGAAAGTGATTCTCAACGAGTCGATACCTAATCCGATAATACCAATTGCCAGTTCCAACATAGCACTGCCGTCAGAAATTCCAGTATCAACGTTACCAGTACCCATTCTTGGTTTAAAAGCTTTAGAGGAGAACAGTGAAAAACGTGATCAGTCTATGGTGGACAAAGTAGATGATAGTGTTAGTAATGATAGCGTTTTAGAAAGTGCCAGTTTTATAGAAGACTTGAAGAAGAAAGATGATGAAACGGAGAATATAATTGTGGATGATGTGGAGCCTACAATTGAAGAGCAGCTAAGGAACGGGGAAATGAGTGTCGGTGGTATGTTTTTAATTTCTATCAGTACAAGCTAATAAACACCAAAATCAAGTTCTAATAACTAGTTTAGTAAAGACCTCATTGTTGGTAAAGTTAACATTTTAGATGAACTTGTTTATCTCATTTGTATGTAACTGTAAGCATGGTATTTCTATTTAAAAATAGCAGAAGTCAATGTGCCTTTTAAACAAGGACCATGGAGAATTTTTCTCATGTAAAGATTCATTATCACCAGCCCTTTTACGTCCCCACTACAGGGGTTCAGGCCTTCCTTATGGATGGTTAAGGAGGATGGGCCATGACCCTCCTCGCTGGACCAATGCGGATTGGAGGGTATTAACAATTGCAAATGCAGCCGGGACCAACGGCTTAACGTGCCTTCCGAAGCACGGAGTAGCTCGAGATAATAATTTTTGGTCACCCATCCCGTGACCGACCCTAGCGAAAGTTGCTTAACGACTACGATCGCGTGCCGCGGCGCTTATCCACTACGCCACCGAGCTACTCATGTAAAGATTATCGCTTTATTATTAATTTTTATATAAAAAATGAAAATGTTGCAGTTGTGCAAAATCGTCATTTTAAAATTAACTGAAATTATTACTTAAGCCTCAAAATATATTGAAGAAACTACATTACCATACTGTGTTTATTTAGCTTTTAATTTTTCCTTTACATATTTACTATCAAAAGATGGTACTGTGTATGAGTTTTACATTACATTATACTCTTAATATGAACTATTTAATAAATTGATGAATGATTTGAAAAGTATGAAATGGTTCGATTTTTTTTTTAATAATTTCTTTTATTTAGACAAAGGTATTATAAAAACAAACCAAATGATCATATTAGATGGTTAACGCCATCTCTTGGTAGTAATAACGAAAGACATCACGTCGATTCCTCTTATTGTCATTGTTATTTCAGATACGCCTCAAACGTTGAGCCCAAATCTTGGTGGTGTTGAGCCTCTGGACGTGGACCCGCCATCTGCTGCCGTCACCGATACAGACATAGTCATGAATGACGGCCTCAGCGAGGTGAGAATAGACTGTTATTTATCATTTTATTTTTTATATGAGAAGTATTTATGCTCATACTTACTTATTTATGCTTCCGATTTCGAGCCCCATCAATCCCGCATAGTTGTATCACACCTCTATGTCCCTTGAGAAAAACAGTATTGGTTTTGAATTGGCCGGTTGTCAGACTTTCTAAAACTTTTAATTCCTGTAGCGATTTACTTGATTTACGTTTTGATTTTTATTCCACATTCTACAAATATGTTCTAGATTTTCTAAAGTATAATAGCACATAAAATATTTCATGTATGAAAGAAAAAATTACCGTACCTATGCCTATTACCTACGCATGTATTAATATATTTTGAACATATATGTCTGTAATAAATAAATAAATAGATATTGTAAGCTCATTCTGCATGCGGAGCTCACCTATAAGTGTCTGTAGCAATAAGTCGAAAAAAAAAGAATGTAAATTATCAATAGTATGTATGATTGTAAACAGTTGTTGGTTAGTTAAATTAAAAATAATAAAACCAAACGTATTTGCCGACGGAAGGTCTGTTTCTTTGCTGTAGCAGCTTTTAATTAAAACTGGTTTCTTTTTCTCTAAATGGCATTATTGCAACATTTGTCATAGTTCACTAACTGAATTACTTCTAGAAGGCTAGCGTTTTTGTCTAAAAAATGAATAAAGAGAGAACAGACATTATAATATTCGACTTTATAAAATTGACATAAAAATTGTTTCGTAGCATTCTAATAATAGGGCGTAGCTCACACTCGGAACAAAGTTACATTATACTAAGGTCTTTCTCAATAACCTTTTTTCGAATCAAATTTGTGGCGTGTCGCCATCGAGCCATCGAATAAAGAAGATTTTTGTTATTCATTTCGTACTTTTTATTTATTCATAGAATGGGTCGATGCAGGTGGAGCCCAGCAATAGTCCACTCAGTACTGACATGATGGTTGAACCCACGGAACCTACTGATCCTGTAGATCCGCCTGATGAGTGAGTTTCATAATTATACAATTATTATATTTATATTGCTTCGTGGTTCACATGGCTACGGAACTTCACTAGGAATCGGTCGACTTTCATAAAACTGGTTTAAATTAATATGGATATAAGTAAATAAGCCTTATTATTATTACCGTGAAAACACTATCAGAAAATCCATTTTTCTCTCACCATACATGATAGTTCCCGTATGAATATCAGGCACTACCTCAAAATTTCTGTCTTTTAAGTTGGTTTTCTTTATTACTATTTTAAAGTTTTTTTATTTCTTTATTTTATATTAATAACAGAAGTTATCACCTATCCATATTACTTACAGACACCTTTGTCCGTATTTAAACATATCTATATTACCCGGATAAACTTTTTCTATAATGGTAGCAGCTCTTTCTTAACCTTAAATAAAAACTTAAAAAAAAAAAATAGAACAGACTTCACACTTTAAAAGTGATAAAATACTTATCTCAAAAGCGACTTATTCAAGAAAATCCTATTAAAGTCTGGCGCCTATCATTTAATTAATTAACTCTTCTACAGATCTGTTGAAGATACGACGGTAGATGTCCACGCCCTTGTAGCTGATGATTTACTTCTCCTATGCGACTTATTCTACTTGCCCTTCGAACATGGCTCCAGAGGTCTAAGATTACTTCATGACTTCCATTGGCTCACTACGCACGCTACCAGTATGCTGCCACGTGGTGCAAAACCTGAGGTAATACTTAGTAACAAATTATTTGGCTTGCTTTTTTGCATAAATTCCACTTACTCATCGCTCTTTCAATTTCATGTAACACGATTAGGTAGAACTTATTCTACTTGACATTCGGGTAATGAAAGTAAAGTTCAAGGCTAAACCTTCAGATACTAATAGTTATGACTTATAGGTTCCTATTAAAGTAATTTATCTATGAAAATTCTAAAATATAGTGCATATAAATTTATATTTTTTTTTCAAGTATTTTAGCTTATTCTTGTTTGAGTCACAGTCCTAGTTTACGTTTTATTTTATTTTATTGAACACGTCAATGATTCTTATGTAAGCAACTCTTCACACCATAGACTAGCGAGTGGCGTCGACGTAGGAGTAGATTCGCGTGGTGGGTGGCGCGAACTCGTCGTCTCGCTCGTCGTTTGTCTATGGCCGCCAATAGAGAATTGCACGCTGAACTATATCCCTACGTGTGGGAGTTATGCGCTGTTCTAGCACTATTGGATGGGTTCGTTAGGTGGTTGGGTAAGGAATTTTATTATAACATAATTAGTTTTTGTATGTCATTATATTAATAACTGTGTATAATGAATAAATACAAATAAAGAACATAAAATTGTGAATATGTCATAAATTAACCTAAAAAGTGTTAAACCAACAGCTGTTGACAAATATCAATGATAATTTTGGTGTTTTACTGCATATTTTTGTGTATATTTCCATTATAGTTAATAAAAAAATAAATGTTTTCTACAGAACTAGGGAAGTTCCTGCCAAATATAGCAGCTAATATACAAGGAAACTATACATGTAAGTAACTCTCGGCATTCAATAAGGTAACAGTAGTAAATTTAAAGTATAGCCAAGGACGACAAGGGAATAATTTTTCCAAGCAGCACGGATTTACACAAAAATCTGGAATCTGGAGTGCACCGTCGGTGTACTAACGGCGTAATACTGTTTCGCAGACAACTATGAAAAACGTCGTCTTCGTCAGACGCAAATGTTACACAATCGCAGTAGATTGCACGGTTTCGCTTTTTGCTAGCGAATTTTGCATTCCCGAAAAGCATCGTGACTTGGTCTATCTAGATTGATGAATCATCTTAATTTTGAGAGGAGCACATTGATAGACTAATGATATCGTACAAACTTATTCATGGTTATTTGTTAAAACACCAAAACTTTACAAGACTAGATAGCTAACAAAGTTCTAAGTAGTTTCTTAGATGAAGAGCTCGATTTTGTTAAAAACATATCTGTACATCAAAGGCAGTGTCAGGCCCTAGTTACATTTGTAATATTCTGAAAACTTTTCTTTGGAGTAGTATCAACATTTAGAATTTCATTTTTTTTTTAAATTAATAATGTGCTCGCTCTTGACCTTAATCCAACCCAGGGGCATGAATGAAATCTACAGTGAGACGAGCTCACTCAGAAGGGTCCTTTACTTTTGCCTTAAATAGGTCAGGGATATATGCACTTAGGAAAATGACGACAGCTTAGTTACAATCCTTAGCAGTGAGCGTTAAAAATGATGTTAAATAGCTCTTTTGTCTTATCTTGAAATATTTATCAAATGAGGGTGGTATCTCGCCGTGCTTCTAGGAGAAATAAAATAGGTTTCCAGGTGTCATGTCAATTCGTACGAGTTCGTGTTTCTGTGGTGGTGGTGTTTCTCTGAATAGCTCGGTGGCGTAGTGGATAAGCGGCGCTTGTTAAGCAACTTTCGCAACGGACGGTCACGGTATGGGAGACCAAAAAATTACTATCTCGAGCTACTCCGTGTTTTAGAAGGCACCTTAAACCGGCGGTATCGGTTGCATTTGCATCGTTATTACCCTTCACTCCGCATTGGGCCAGAGTGGAGGGCTAAGGCCCATCCTCCTTAACCTTCCATATGGAAGGCCTGAGCCCCTGGCAGTGGGGACGTAAAAGGAGCTGATGATGATGATGCTGGTGTTCCATAATTACCCTGTATATTTATTATAACAGTACTGCCACATTATACATATTTATTCATCATTATTAATCTATAGAATTATATATGTCTGATATGTAGATGTTAGTTACAAAACCACAAAAAAGGTTTTGGTTTTAGTCAGATGTACTAATTAAAATAATTTATCGTGTCGTGTAGGGTTCTCTAAAGGGTGGCGGGAGGCGTTTGAGAGTGGCGGCCAGGAGCCTTGGGTGTTCCGCGGCGGATTGTCCGCGGACCTGAGGCGGCTGTTGGCGGTGGACTGTGCCGCGGAGGCGATGCGCCCCGCCGCCCCCGCGCCCCACAGCGCGCCCCTCGCGCCCCGCCCCTACACCTCCGCTGATGAGGCTGCCGTGAGTACAGTCTCCACTCCCCGCAAATTGCTAATGCACCTGGCCGTCATTTTGATGACGCAATACGGGTGTAGACAGCAAACGAAAATAGTGTTTAATATACTATTAGAACAGAATAGAATAATTGTTTATTGACATTAGTTAGTATAGCTTAGTTAGGAAACAATTTATTCGATTGCAATGCTTTTTTTTAGTTCTAGTCTCCGAGTTAAGTTTCAAAGTTTGTCTGAACGAGGCCACTTGCAGCGGTAACATCGTCTTTACTCACCATAGGATTAAGAAACATAACTTAATCTTAGTTGCAGATATACAGTCACACTAATATAGATTTCTTGTCATTAACGTCTATGAATTACTAAAAAGATCTTACAACTTCAAGTAAAAAAATCCTAATATTGTTTTAGGTGTGCGCTATTTGTCATAAGACTTGTCGCGATGGCTCCGACTGCAGCGACCTATTCCCGAGTGATTTGCAAACGCTACCAGCTGACAGGTTAGTCGTGAATGCAACGATATTGCGTCATAACTGAAAAAGTTCTCAGTTGTGAACATTGATCAGACAAAAAAAAACACATATGGCAGCTCTTACTGTTTTATAGCCATAACTCTACATGTTTCTTGTAAAAGATAGTAAGTATGATTATGGCAACAGTAGACAGATTTTATATCTTGATAACACATACTGTCGTGTTCAAAAAAAAAAACAGAATCAACAAATGCAAATAACTAGATATCTTTATGATTTGAAGTACTTGCTTTTTGTATTCTTATTATGAATTTTCTTTACAAATTAAAAATACCTACAAATTGCCTGATACCTATTATGTAGTCTTGTATGATACAATTTGTATTGGTGATGGTGACAAAATAAATATTTATGTATCCATATAAACAGATTAGTAGCGCCTTTCCTGACCCTAAATCCGGAGCTGTGCATGGTAATAGAAGAAGATATAGAGGACGCCCTACGCGACGACTGCTCTGACGATAATGCCACGAGTGAAAAACCAGAGCAGCCCACGATAAATGGTAACTAAATACTAATTAATTGAGATATATATTTTTTTTTACCATTAAGAATACAAAATAGGATAGTTTCGGTAGTGAAAAATAAGTCACGATACATTAAGATTCTGATTTTGAGTCTTAAAATTGCACGATTATCTTAACATTAAAAGTCGTGACTTTTTTTCTGTGTGTAACTTGACTTGAAACACGAACCGCCATTGTGTAACGTACTGTAGCGACAGCTGTCTGATAAGTCATAAAGATATACCCATTAATTATAAATCAAATTCCTAGATGGCGCTGTTCTTAGTTTATTTCTATCTTTTTATTTTGTAATCGATCGTTAAATGACATTGTTCTTGTTTTATTGAAATCTTTTACTCTAGGCATCTGTTTAGTGTACATATCAGAATGACGTCATGAATATGACGGACAGTGTTTTCGCGTGTAGAAAAGAAATCTAAACTTTGGTTCAGGCATATCATTAATAATAAGTTTAATCAGGTAATGAAAGCAAGAAAACGTGTTTAATTTTCCGAAATAGTTGTTTTATGGCTTTTTTAAATGAAAATAAGTAGTCACAAGTATTATTTCATACAGAGTAGAATACTCCATTCACAAAAAACCCTAGTCAAAAATTGGTTTCGGTGATAGCTGTCGTCTTTTGTTTAGGTGTGAAACCAGAAATCATCGGCTTCGCATGCGCGACTTTGAACAGTAAAGATTTTTACAAGAAGCAAGAAATCGCGTGGATACCAGAGATGAAAGTCAAGTATCCAGAGACGCTCGTCGAGAGAGACGACCTCAGTCAAGCAGCCAAGGTAAATTTATCTTCAAAGTTGACCAAAGAATACTTATTTTTGTGTGTCTTCGCCGCTGCCTTCCGTCCGATAAAGAATAGCAGAGTGAAATTAATAGCCTCTCACTCCGCACTATTTGCTTTCATATGCGCCGATTGTGGATAAAGATGACTGCATACATAGTCGTGTCGAAAGAAAATACGAACTCAAAAGACTTCTACAGTACTGAAGTATTGTATTCACTATTGTGGCAATTACTGTTTATTATTGTTTTACATTACTGTTTTTTATCAATCGAATAATTTAATATATTCAATTTAACAGAAGGTATTCAATAATTTGCAATGGATAACCAAAATGGTCCGCTACCGATAGCGCTCGACTTCGTGCATGAAAAAAGGTTGGCAGTCATTTATATCCTTTCTTTTAAGGCAGGGTAAATATAACCTTAAGCCTTAACTATCACATCCGCATTCATAACGAATTTTGAAATGTACCTTTTTTCGGCGCATTCGGTACGGACGTGTTTGCGGTCACCTTAAAATCCGATCCGCCTCCGCGGTGTTAATGAAATGAAATAAAAATATCTTTATTCAAGTACGCTATTACAAGCATTTTTGAATCGTCCAAAAAAATTTTTTTCCCCTGCCACTTGTTCAGAACGTCTTTTAGCTGACAAGAAGAACAAGCGAAAGAAACTTATCAGCTTTTTATCATAAATAATGACATTTAGATAAATCATGTCATTACCAAAATAATATGTATTATCACAATAATAAATAAACTTCCAAAGTCTGTAGGACATAGGTTGAACATATAATTAGTCTTTATAGAACAAAGCGAAAGCTATTAATTCCATGCATTGCGATCCTTAAAATAATCATCAACTTTATAATAGCCTTTACTCATAAGTATGTTCTTTACATGAGTTTTAAATTTATTTATGGGTAGGCCAACTACATTTTGTGGAGTGAGAATAGAGTGGTTATTATCTTTTTTTATATCAGGATTGCGTACGTCACTTCCATCAGTTTGAGAATCAGGAGCGTGCGCCGGAGAGCGTGATACGTTCCCATCCTGCGTTACTCACGTGCTGTGTGTTGCCGCAAGCGAGCGATCCGCTCGCCGCCGCCAGACTGCTCGCTTGTCTGCTCGCTGCGCTCAGATCGCTTGGTCAGTCCTATTTTTCTCATTTACTAATATTTTTTTATTACATTATATATAATATCAAATTTAGCATTTATTTTACAAATTTAATATTTATATATATATCCCATATAGTAATTAATACAAATCGCATAGACAGATGAGGGATTTCTTTAATATGCGATCACAGGATTACGGGGAATCCTAACTGAAGCATTTTTTTTGTAAGCAGTATATTGTTTTTTTATTTTATTTCATATTGTTAGTTATTGAATTTCTGAATTTATTATTCCGATAAGATACGGTTGGTTTATGAATTGAGAAAAGTACAAAATCTCAACTAATTATTCTCAATGACTTAAGTTTTTCACTTTTCGCGAGGCAAAAGGTCCTAGTTTTTATCAAACTACTATCAACTAATCATTAAAAACTAAAATCAGAAGTGAAAACCTGTTAAAGTGATGTTTGAGTTTAGTTTGAGACGTTCTTAACTTTAAATTCTCTATTCGGAAACCGGGTCATAGTACCCCAAGGGTCATATAGATCAATTATATAATTTTGACTTTTATGTCAGCATAAAAGTATAGTAATAAGCATTTGTAGGTCAGCCTACAAATGAATTAATTAAATGTCTTTGGCATTCCAAATCTACTAATTTTAACTGTAATAATTCAGATTGATGATGCATAATTGATCAAATATTGTTGTGCAGGTGTTAATGGCGTCCACGCGTGCATAAACGCAACGGACCACTACCTACATCAGTTCTACAGTAAGCTAGGTTTCGTGGAAGTGCACCGCGAGGAAAACGGTCGGGTATATCTAGCGCGCTCCTTCTAGCGCCGTCTATTAGCCCGACCGCCTCGCACCCGCTCGCGAATAAACGCTCCATTGGTACCTAAACGTGTAACGAGGAAGCTACGTGCGCGGCTTTAAATCTACAACTACCCTCTACTTAGTGACGGTGGCCAATTGGCCGTTGTATAATAGGAAACCTACATGCGTATATCTTATTTTGTAATTACCCGATTTATGTATACTGGCTAAATAGTTCTTTAATGTGTAACATGATAGCTATTTGTGCGCGACTCTAACTTAGCAGTGGCATTTTGTGTACCAAGAAACCTGTGAACGTGATATTGAAAGTTACTCAGAATCGCGATACTTGATTTTCTAAATGATGATAAATTAGATCACTGTTGCAATATTTTATGACCTATTCTATTAACAATGACGTTATATACAATTGAATGCCATCTCTATATTGCGCTCTACAGATCTGTGTTCGTTGCTGTTTAACGACCTGTCAATTGTAGTAGAGCTATGTTTGCTGATTAGGACATGTTTATTATTTAGGATATACACGTGATTACGGTCTATTATTATGTACAATATATCTTATATGGATTATTATTACATGTTATCGTATAGTACAGTATTTCTTATAACTATTCTTAATTCATATTTAAGTATACTATTTATTTATATTAAATTTGGAAATATCTAGTAGTACTAGAGTCATAGTCGTAATGTTTGGTAAAATAGCTCTACTTATCAGATACCTAGTGATTATGTATTTTAAAATGTCAGAATATGCTGAACTTAGGGACAAGATCTAAGTGCAGCTATTCCCATATAAAAACTGTCAAACTCTACGTTTTCGGACATTCTGTCACAGCATGAAGGTTGAATCAAATGACTGGAAAGAAATTGTATTTTATTTAATTATATTTCAATGCGCTCGCTGTGTTCGACGTTGAGCTTAAGGCTGTTTCTATAAGGTAGCAGATCTGACCATAGAAATATTAGTATTTTATCTGATTGCTATATGTATATCGAAAAGTCGAAGGATGCGATCATACGACGGGTTCAATATGGCGACTCTAAATTTTTGTAACAGTATTACGTTTCTAAATGATTGTTGGGTAAAATTAGTGACGTATATGTAATTTCATCATTATGTATACACGAGAGGGTTTTCTCTATTAGAACAGCAAAATATGATATATCAATGATCGAGTTAGTGTACATATTTGAATGACATATTTAGCTCAATAATAACTCGCCCATATAAACAGGTACACCTGTTATCGTTCACAATTCTTCGACTCGTCATTGAGTTTTCTATAAAGTATGAAAAATTTGTAATATATTTCACCTTTGTATCTTATGAGTTATGTTGATTTGTGTAGTGTTCTCGGTTTATGGAGAGTTGAAATTTCAATCCTTTGATAGGAGTTGTCAATTTTATAAGGCAGTCTAAATTTTTTATTTAAAAAAATCTATCATTCCATTTATCCTTTTACATCATGAAATTTGTATTTACCAAGACCAAAGTGAATTAGCTAAATGACAATTGATAGTCAGAACAGCCATTAACTTATAAGTATATACATTTATACTTAGTTGAAAGCAAAAATAGCAATCGCCGAGTATTTTTTTTTTTAAACAAAAATTTACAGATACTATAATTATAATGCTTTATTAGCAACAGGAGACAGTTATGTATCAGCACACGTGGTAGTCTAAAAGCTACACTATATCTCTCTTTGACTTATTTCATTTCATGTAAGTTGAAAATTATAATAATATATCTTTTTTATTTTGCGACTAGATTTTATGTTAACTGTAGCATATATAGCTTAAAATTCTCATTTAGTATAATTTCATTAAGTAAATGTAAGTGAAACGTTAGTTGAGTGAAATTCTGGTTTTCATGTTCTTCACTTGATTATTATAATTTTTTAGAAATGGTTCTCTATTACGATTCTTTATTTGAAGTACACTCCTTATATTTTTGCATAAAAGTTGTAAAAGAATTCAAGAATAAAATATATTAGATTTTCAGGAATAAATGACTTCACTTTTTTATAATTATGTATAATTAAAGAGCTAGATGATTAAAATTTTGTAAAAAATAATTGTAAACATTTAAGTGTTAAAATAAAAAGCATTATCGACCAGCAATTAGAGTAAATTTAAGGATAGTGGAATTATGTGGTGTGAGGTAACAATGCCTAGTCAAGCTTGTATAAAGACTGAATAAGAGAGATCGATTGAGAAAGTTGGTATTGTGATAATGATTGTTTTAAAATGTGCTTTAGTGTTATTGTTTGTAAGTTCAATGTTGAATCTACGCCGCTTCGTACTCGCCTAGCTACGCTGCTCATCTCCAGTCTCAATAAATAACAATTTCGCTACAATTCATAGCTAGAGATCATGGGAAAATTCCAGAAGGGACTATGTGAAATATGTGAATGTGTATTTGTGAATTTAACTTTACATTAACGGTCAATGCCCACTTTTCCACATAAAATATATCAAAAGAGTTGAAAGAATATAATTTCTGATATTATATCAATTATTATACTGTGTTTATTAAAAATATATATATATGAATCTATCATGGACAAATAACATGTTTGTTCATTCAAAATTTGTTCATTCACATATTTACTTTATTTCTATTGTTCTTTAGTATTTCTAAAAGATTATGACGATGTCACTATTGTAACAATTTTTCTACTAAATTACAGCAATTATTACTACTAATAAATATGTCGATTAAAATTGTCCAATGAGAATGCCCTACGTAAGGCATTTATTATTAATTATTAGCAAAAGGAGTTATTTCTTTTTTCACTTTTTACACAAAAACAAATTAAACAAAACAGTCATAGATTGTGGCACCATGTTACGAATGTTGGGTATAATCAATATCAATGTTCGTTGAATGAAAAATTCATATATAAAGTAGGAATATGAATTAATAAAAGATGAAAATGATGACAGTCATTTTTTTCACAGAACTTTCATTATTTCTGTTAGTTTTACTTTTTTATAATTAATTACTTTTTTGTCTTTTATTAATTAATTAAACTGCGTTCCTATTTTTTGTTATTTGTCGAATGACTTTGCACAACGTAGCATTTATTAATTATGTATGACAATTTAAGGCAACGCGAAGGTCGCAGGTAAAATTCCTGTTTTAAGTAATTTTTCATTAAACCATGCTATTAAGTATGATGTACGAACATACTCAATAGACACGTAATTGAAATATGCGTCTTCTATGCCCACTAGACCAGATCAACCACGTATTTTACCTGTACTTGATTAAAACCCGTTCAAAAAAATATGTAAGAGATGACTCACATTATTTAGGTTCGAAAAAACACCCGAACTTGGAAAGCCGAACACGGCCTCCGACGATGTTGGCCGATGACGGAATAGTGTAGTGGTTTTCTTCTCGAAGGTACTACTACAATAAAAATACGTTTTTGTCTGGCATAGTCCTAATACGGCCATTGTATAATATAATGTTGTAGCGTACCTTAGAAGTATTTGAAGTCTGTATGCAATGAGCATTTAATGCGAGATGTTATTGTGGAGGATAACATTAAATGTAATAGATTTATAAAAAAATATTTTCAGTTTGTCTGTATTTTTTAATCGGATATCTTAATGCAATCGTTTTGTGATTATGTAAATAAGCTTTCGTTCAACTACATAATTAAACTCTGTAGTAGTATTTATTATAAGTTACTTTGTTAACGAGTTCTTTAAAAGAAGTTGCTTGATGCACTTAAATATTATATACTTTACACACCAAATTCATACTCTTTTTTTATTGCTGATGAGTATTATAATAAAAAAGGCACTTATAAAAAATATTGATATTCGCTCTAGTTTTCTTACTGCGCCTAATAATAACAGCAACACGAAAGCTTATATTATTATATATTTTTAAATTGATTTTGGAGTGTTGAATTAAACAGTCAATGCTTTCCAAGCACAGTCATAACTTGTTACATATGTTTCAGATTGATATATAGCTAAATGAAGACGGTGATTCCTTTGCCATTAGAGCATGTAGTAATGTTCAACATTTTTTGAGTATTTTTATGCTATATTTCTTTATACTCCCAAGTTTAAACTCTAATACTCTGTAATAATGAGTTAACGCACTGAATTTTGATGATTGTAACTGATGTAAATCTATCTTTACTCCGTGGCATTTTGTTATACCGATTTTGGCATCCAGTTTATATGATCTTTGTAATTTATAATCCCATACATGTAAAAGGCTTAGTACTTTGTATGAAGTAGTCTTATGGTAAATAGTAAGTAAATAAAATGAATATTTATTTTCTTTTTATAATCACTGCTGCTTTAAGTTCTTGAATTAAAGTTTTGTTATATTTTATAAATACTTTATGGTGTCGGCCATCTGAATGAGAATCAACCATAAACATTTTAAATAAATATGTTGTATTTTATTTGAATAATACTATACTGTACAATAATATAATCACTCTAAAATAACCGATCTTCCGTTTGTCAGAGTCAGCTCTGAAAGCTTCTGCTTTATTTCTGATATCTGAAAAAAAACTTAATTTATATTTGTGTACAGTTTCTGACCCTGCTGTTTGATTAAATCTATTGCACGCGTACATGACGAAGTATACTTGAGCAGGGTTCGTAATATCAAGTTCATTATTTTTTTGCATAATTATTCGTAGTTAGTGGCAACCATTTTTAAAATACAGAAAGGCATTCTTAATAGAATAAACTTTTTTGTTGTTTTAAATTATAAAAAATTACCTTTGAAATTACATTCAACAAAAAATGAAATGATATAAAGGGCTTTTATTTTATTTTTTGTTTTTGTAGGTACTAGACAATTCTCTTATTTAAAATGATTCCATTTAAATAACAAGTCCTAAAGTACAAAAATAGTTTTGCAATGTTTTATAATTATCACTTCGAACTACAAATCTCCATACAGATTCCTAACACGCTCGTTAGTGAACTTGCTAACATAAAATTTAAACTCCACTCTGTATCATGAACTTTCACCTAAATCCGGAATCATTAACGCTTAAAGTTGTTATCTATTCACAAAAAGGATTGGTGAGAGAAACTTTCATACTTTAAACATACTAAAATCTTAAACTCGCACTCGCGCATACTAATTGTAAAACTCGCACCTCACTCGCATAAAACTTACACTAAGTCCTGTGTAACATACCTTTTGGATTTCACCGAGCAACATTCTCTGCTCAGTCCGAGGAGTCAAACCTGTTTTATTCAAATCTATAGCTTCTAAGTTTTCGAACAGTTTCTTTATTTTCATCGCCAAATGGACGTCGTTGTTATTCTTTCTTGGGACACTAGGTTTCGCGCGGCGGACTAAATTCTTCCTATATTTATCAGGCAAGTCTTTCTCGATGTCGTCTCTTGTAAGTAAAGTCATATACTCCGGTGCCGTGTCGTATGGGAAATGTTTCGATTGCATCTTGTAACCAGAGTCAACGAACTGCTTTTTATAACAATAGGTTTTACGCCAGTTTTTCAAGAGTTCTAGATTTCTGTAATGTTTGGAAAAGTATGAATAAAGGCCGCGCCGCAGTACCTACTCCACCTAGGATCGCGCCTAATTGTCAAGATATTACTTTTAAAGATTAATATTAAAATAAGACAGTTCAATACGAGTGACGAAGAACCGTTGATTATTAATTTTCTTAGGTATGTTTCGATCAATATATTAAATATAAAATCCATTATTTAAACTTACTTTCTACTCTGTAAAATCTTATCTCTCGTCGCCACGAACTCCTTATGTTTCTTGATTGCAATTTCTTTTAGATAATTTTGCCTAACCTTGCTATTGAAAGATGCTTCGCTATATGCACTCCGCGCTGGCACATATTTAGAACTTTGATAATAGGTAGGCACCTGATGCCTACTTTTATTCAGCTTAGGGCACTTTCCCTTTATTTTTGCGTAGTATTCCTCATCAGAGTCGTCTACGTCTTTTTCGCTGAACTGTATAGATAAGGCTTTATGGGGCTTTCTCAACTTATCCCCGTGTATAACAGAGTTGTAACTTACGACTCCTTGGCTCAGATCTGGATAGTGACTGTTGATGCTTGCTGCGTCAGATACATCCGATTGGGACTGAGTGAGCATAAAATCGACGTATTTTCCATGAAGGAAGTCTATTATTGTTTTAACGCCACCTCTAAGTATATCATTCGAGGGATATACTAATGGGTTCCCGCTGAGCTGCAACACTTGCAGTTTGACAGTCCCTAATTCATTCGGTAAATTAGATAAACGATTGTTTTGTAAAAGTAAATGAGTAAGATGTTGATGATTTAGCACGGTCGTCGGAATGTCCCTCAACTCGTTGTCTCGAAGATCAAGATAAGTAAGACAAGGTAGTGATGGAAAGAAATCTAAAGGTAAACATTTTATTTTATTATCTTTTAAATACAGCACCTGTAACGGAAATAATTTTAATTGTAGTCATACAGCCTTCGATTTGCTTGTATGATATGAAGATATTCCGTATAAAATAATTATGGGAACTAATCGGAAAAGAGATCAATAAAACTAGCAAGTAAGAAAATCATAAAGTATTAATTTGTTAATTGATTAAAATAAAAAACTAACAATAACTCTACATCTTAATAGCAAACGAAATTCTGCTAGCTGTGCACTGCACTAATGGCGGTGGCTATCTCTATATAAAGCAGGGGTGGCTAACTTGTTTAGACCCAAGATCGACTTTTCACTGACGACACCCAGTACGATCTACCAATTACTTTACTTCTTAAAGTCTTAAATGAAACAGCATAGTTCGTACACAATTATGTAGTATTTTTATTTTATTTTATATTTTTTTGAATTGCCACGATCGACTGGACTAATAACCGCGATCGACTGGTTGGCCACCCATGATATAAAGGAATCTTACGCTAAAATTTTATTTAAAAGTACGTGAATCCCCATTCTATTTAACTAATAGTTATTATGTAGGTAACTAATTAGTCTTTGTAACTGTTTACTTGGGTAAAATGTACAAAAGAGATTTTGGATAAAGAAAACGCATAATATAAAATATCAGATATACATGCGTCACAAGCTTACTTGTAATGATTTATTGTTGATTTCCGGAACAGATTCTAAATTTCTGGATGATACATCACAAACTGTATCGTCACTCACTCTTTCTTCGTATATGTTTATTGGAACTTCATATGTACTCGAAGTTACTGACATAGTATTTCAAAATCCTAATTACCTAAAAAGGAACGAAATGCACAACGGTTTGCCTTAACTACACGCTGTGAAATCAATATACTGTTCCAAACAAAATTTCAAATATGGCGCTTGTAATCTTTATGGCGGCAAAGAGTAAAAGTATAAAATATGGCGGACGAACTTGGGCCATATAGTAAGGTAGAGTGGAAATATTTTCAATGGTTATATAAATATCATGCAATCTGAAGTTGACATCAAAAACATCATGTTGTATTTTTTTTACCTAATAAGAAGTTTCTTTAGTAAACAAAGATAACACTAGTGTGACAGTTCAAAATTTTTTACGTGACGTCATGAGATATAGCTATCGTAAAGTTTGGCAAGCGAAACGTGACACCACCTATTTTTCCGTTTTCATATGGCAACAACATAGAACTGTCAGTTTGACACTACGTTAGACAATTCAAGAATATTGAATTTTGTTGTTTTTGCGAATTTGAACTTGTGTTTTTGGTTAAAAATTATGTCGAAGCCGATAAAAAGTTCATCGAGGAAACTTCTTTCCATCATGATTGACAAGTTTACTGAAGTGAAAACTGAATTAAATAAAAATTTCATGGAGAAATTACAACGATTAGATAACGTTGTATCTTTTTTAGGTTAGTTTTGTATTATAATTTTGATACTTTCGTTTTAATTTTCTGTAATTAACTAAACAGATATTTTTTATAAAATATTGCTCTATTTCAGAATAACTGTGATGGTGATATTCAACCAATAATGGAGGAGATAAATGCAATAAAAACTTTAGAAAAACAAGAAATGCTGAATTCGGAAACGCAGTACTTACAAAAAATTTCTTCAATGACAGGTCTCTTTTCTTGTTTTGATTTAAGATAGATTGATAGTATTCCTATAATATTTACATAGGTTTTTTATGATGTATTGGTTTTTATTGTTGACATCCAATGATGTCATAAGAATGTTTTGTTTAACAAGGAAATTCACAGAATTCATGAAACTAATCAAACCATGTAATTGTTATACATGCTAAATATGCACATAAACTTAACTAAATTAAACATAAATTGCATTCATAGTTGAATAGGTATTTAAATTATTTTGATGTATGTGTCTATCATTATTTGCTTTTAAATACATTTAACATATCTTTGTTTCAAAGTGTTTAATCTTTTATAGATGTAAGTATAAGGACACTAAGAAGGATAAAAAATGAAGCATTAATTAATAAAGGAAAATGGGACACTCCTGGGAAAAACGACCTCATCAACCAACAGTGTCTGCTTTAGATAATTTTGATTTAAGTGCAATTCGGAATAAAGTAAATGAATTTTACTGTGTGAAAAAAATTGTTCCAACATTAAGAAGCCTTCACAATGAATTAAAAGATGCAATAGGATTCAGTGGTAGCCGTGAGACTTTACGAAAAATTATGCTTAAGAATGGATTTTCTTTTAAAAGCAATGAAAATGAACGTTCTATGCTTATAGAAAAATACCAGATTTCTGCATGGAGGCACAAGTATTTGAGAGAAATAAATATAAACGAAACGAAGGAAAGCAAATTGTGTACCTTGATGAAACTTATGTACATCAGAATTATAAAGTTAAAAAGTCTTGGCAAGGACCTTCAACAACTGGTGTCACTACAAAGGAAAACGGCATATTGTTGTGCATGCTGGATCTGAGGAAGGTTTTGTGCCTGGTGCATTATTAGTGTTCAGTAGTAAATCCAAATCTGCTGATTATCATGATGATATGAACTCATCGAACTTTATGAAATGGGTCAGAGAAAAATTAATACCAAATTTAAGTAAGCCCAGTGTAATTGTTATGGATAATGCCAGCTACCATATAAAACAAATCAATAAACCGCCTATAATGTCTAATACCAAAGCAGATATCCGTAAATGGCTTGTAAATAATGGAATACATTTTGAGGAATATCAGACAAAGGCAGAGTTAATGTGTTTGGTTAATGATAAGAAAACATTGCCTGTATATGAAGCTGAAGAGATTTTAAAAGAACATAATCATGAACTTTTATTGCTGCCACCGTATCGTTGTGACTTAAACCCAATAGAGATGGTTTGGAGTCAAGCAAAAAGAAAAATTGCAAGCAGAAACATTGGAATACCAGGAAAGGAAATGGAAAACTTAATAATAGAGTGTTTTAACTTAATTACCCCTAGTGACTGGAAGAAATACACTGATCATGTTTTAAATGTCGAAAATGATTACAAATTAAAAGATGGCATTGTTGAAAACGAACTTGAAAAATTTATTATATCTGTTGGTGCAGACAGTAGTGAAGAGAGTGACTCTGATGATTCCTTGTCATTGTTATCAGGTGTAGAATATTTAGAAACAGATTTTGACTATGAATCAGACTAAAGTATTTTTTAGTCTGATTCATAGTCAAAATCTTATCTTAAATTTTCTATTGTGATTAAACATGATGATTTGTGACACCTGTATTATGTAATTTATCCATGGCACTTAATTGTAACAAAAATAAATGTTTTTTTTTATTGTAATCTGGTGTTTATATTGACTAATTTAATTTGATAGATAGTGGTTCTGGATCAGAGCAAAAGGTTGTGATGAAAATCCCTTAGGAGACATGTATGTGTTATGAACACATTATAAATATAAGGGCCAGAAATCAAAATTGGCTAACATCACATTTATTAAAAAAATGTGGCCAGAGTCGCCCATATTCATTACAAAAAAACAAAGAAGTCGTTGCAAAAAAACACCCTTTTAATTAATGACAAATATGAATTTTTAATATTATAAGTGCTGTTAGCCAATAGGTATAACGAATGGGTTAAAAAAAAGATTCGATTTAGTCCGTCAGTCAGATAATAGAAAAATATTGGATACGTATTTTTTTTCGCTTTAATTTAACAACAAATGGCTTAAGAGGTACTATGCGACGACTTCAAATATGCTTTGCAACAATGTTACTTTAATACAGTTTATCGATACGAAATCAAGTGTCAAAATGGAGTCCAGTGGAGAATGCCGATATTGACATTTCGAAATTGCTCATCATTGATAGAGAATACGAAATAGTGATTTTGACACAATCAAAGTGTCTATTTTTTACGGTGATGACGATTCTTGGTTGTCAGTTGAGTTAGTGAATAGGCCTACTGATATGCTGTTAACTGTACAATTAAGAACAGTCACGCTTTAGTCAAATGTTCCAAAACAAATAATTTTAATTGATATCTAAATGTTAAGATTAAATATAATTAATAAAAGTATCAAAATTATTTTGCAGTACTACATTCAGTGTTTACTGCTTAAGAATTTTTGAAATTGCCGCCCTTTTCTTGTGACACGTTTCGCTTGCCAGACTCTACCACCTGTCAGCCATTTGCAAATTTGCTTTGCGTATTCTCGGAAGTAGTTCAGCTGTCAGTGTTATAAGTTTTGTGGTTATTTTCATTTATAACTTTAATTTATATAACTTTCATGGCAGAAAATTGTAAATTATTTATGCAAAACAATGCCTAGGTGCTGTATAATTGGTTGTGCGTCATCAATATCCCGCAAACCGAGCAATATTACGTTTCACCGGTAAGTTAAACACTTTCTTGGAATAACAGTATTTAAAACGTAAGTAAGTTATTCTGAAAATGATTGCGTGTATAAATCGATACATATCGTATTTTGGCGTGTTCTATTTATGCTATATTGCTCTTTTCGTTTATATTTTTATAATATTTCGGTCCGTAAATAATATTGTTTACGTGGCTAGTGTCGTTACTTTAATATATGGTTTATATCGATAATTTTAATATTTAAAAATATATTAATTATTTTAGATTACCAAAAGATGAAACAAAAGAGGAAAATGGCCGAGTTACATAGAAGCAGAAAATATTAAATGTAATGAAAAAGTTACTTTTATCTGCTCACTTAATTTTAGGGAAAGTTGTTTGAATCGAACTTTAAATATAATAAAATTACGAGATTATGCATTGCCAATCAAATACTTTGGTAAGAATTTTTGACAATTGCTTTGAACTTATTTAAAAAAAAATGTCTATTACACTTAGTTAATTTTCATTTGATTTTACTGATTTATTTATTTAGTTTTTTATATAGTCATTTTGTTATTCTATAAATGTACCTTATTTTAAGTCTTGCGGTCATATGACGACTATTTTAATTGAAAAAAATCAGAATGCAATATATAATAATATTAAAATATAAAATTCTGATCATAATATACTCCCAGTAAAATATACAATAAAATGAGTTAAATAATTTTAATAAAAATTAAAATATGCACACTTATCAAATTAAAGGCATAGTTAAAGGTTTTCTTTACTGTTCAATAGTATAATCTTAATACCCAAATAATTATTTTGCGGCGTGGATGTTTATTTTGCTGATGCATCATAAAATACGCTACCTTTTTGAATTTAAATCGCTGACCGTTATCATGATTGTTCACAGAACATGAACTGCAGACTGTTTTTAGTGCTGAGAAAATATTTGTATGCTTGATTAATCGGCTGTTTTCTTCTTGCTAACATAATTTTTAAATAAAATGCCAATTGTTACTTCTTTAATAATGTTACTGTTATGCCAATTGTTACTTATTCATCACCAACTTTGTTTTCTTTATTTTCTCTTGTTTATTCATCAAAGTTTTCAGTATTTTTATGTTCTTTTACCAATAATATAATACAAAGATTATGTAGGTGTTTCAAGTTTTCTATGTTTACTACTAAACAAGATGTTCTGAACTAAAATTGTGACACAGTACGCACGGTATCTCACTTAATGAGGAGGAAGCGAAATTTATTCAGTCAAAACAATTTATTGAATAAATTTATAGACAAGTTGGCTTACTAGTTACAAGAATATAAGAAAGTCGAAACTCTGTGCTTATAGTTCAGCAATCTATTCCGGGAAACCTTATACCGAGAAAAGAAGAAACTGTAAGAAAGGAACCGGTAAGAAACTGCAAGGGCTGCT